TATGGGATAATGTTCCCTTTACATAAATTCTAGAAAATAGAAACTGATGTAAAGTATCCTAACCAAGACTAATATCTGCCCAGGGAAGTGGTATGAGAATGGAATAAGAAAGGTGGAAAAACAGAAAAATGGAAGAAAATGAGAAAAGAAACTCATTTCTCACCCTGATAATAATCGATAAGGATATGTCGAGTCTTATCAGTAGCACACCTTCAACATATAAACTTTCTTCCATTTCAATTATACAACATTAAATTTATTGTAAGTAGATTAAAATTATTGATAGAAAAAACCCAATAGAAAGGTGGATGAGATGTTAAATGTGTGATAACCCTGAAAATCCAACTCCATTAACCCAAGTCTTTCCATAAGCTGGATGAAAGTCATCATGTGGCAAAATCACACATATTCTCAGTACACAATTATTGGGACCAAACTAAGCAAGTCCAGTTCAGTGCTGGATTCAGGGGTGTCCAGTGCTGAGAATATCAGGTCAGATTCTAGAACTCAGAGCCCCGTGCTCTGGGGTGATCCTCAAATTTGTAACATGGAAGACTCGGGGACATCAGCCACACATGATCCATGTCCATGTGCAAACATGAAACAAGATGATGTATGCTCAGGACTTGCAACATCACAGTCTCAGGTAAGGAATTCATATTATATCAAATGTCTCCCTTGTCATATTCCTGCCCCAGCACAGTCACACCTGCTCTGGCCCTGCCCTCACTCAGTGTCCCACCCTAGACCTCCTATATAGCAGGAGAACATGCAAATAAGGCCTCCCTCTGCCCACGAAAAACCAAATAAGGCCTCCCTCTGCCCATGAAAAACCCTGCAGCTCTGGGAGAGGAGCCCCAGCCCCAGGACTCCCAAGTCTGCCTACTCACTTCTTAAGACTGAACATAGACCACCCACCATGGAGTCTGGGCTCAGCTGGCTTCTCCTTGTTGCTCTGTTACAAGGTGATTGATGGAGAACTGGAGATTCAGAGTGTCTGAATGAATGTGTGAGAGAGAACAAGGTTGTGTGTGGAGGTTTCTAACCAGGTGTCTCTCTGTGTTCACAGGTGTCCAGTGTGAGGAGAAGCTGGTGGAGTCTGGGGGAGGCTTAGTCCAGCCTGTGGGGGCCCTGAGACTCACCTGTGTAGTCTCTGGATTCTCATTAAGCAGCTATGATATCAGCTGGGTCCGCCAGGCCTCAGGGAAGGGCCTGGAGTGGGTCTCATACATTAGTAGTGGTGGTAGTACATACTACCCAGACTCTGTGAAAGGCCGATTCACCATCTCCAAAGACAATGGAAAAAACACTGTGTATCTGCAAATGGACCGTCTGAGGACTGAGGACACGGCCAAGTATTACTGTGCAAGGGACACAGTGAGAGGAC